AGGCGTTTGCATGCTTCTCACTGTGAAAATCACAGTGAGAAGACACAAGCGTCCTGCCGCGCATGCGCATTCAGCCGAAGAGGAGGAGAAGAGGCGGAGAGGAGGAGGAGAGCTCCCCGCCTGGCGCTGGAGAAAGGTAAGATTTTAACCCCTTCCTCTCCCCAGAGCCCGGCGGTTTCCTGGCACTATAGTGATCCTTTAATGAGATTGTAGCCAATCGTACTTTCCCTAAGGAGATGCTTCAGGCCAATATTGTTCCAATTTTGAAACCAGATAAAGATCCAGAGATACTAGCGAATTACCAGCCCATATCTCCTCTTAATGGAAATGTTAAGATTTATGCTATGACAGGTTGTTGTGGTAGGGGACTCTTATTATTAAGAGAGTAGATAGGGTAATCGGTCACTCTGATCGACTCAACTGGACAGTTTGCTGTCTCCCAAGTGCTCGGGTCCGGCATGTTGCCGACAGAGTGGAGGGATTAATGGGAGAGGTTGGGGATGACCCAGCTGTCATGGTCCATATTGGTACCAATGACAAAGTCAGAGGAAAATGGAAGGTCCTAAAGAGTGAGTTCAGGGATCTAGGAAGTAAGCTAAAGAAAAGGACCTCCAAGGTAATATTTTTTAGAAATATTACCTGTGCCGCGCGCTACAGCAGAAAGGCAGTGGGAGATTAGAGAGGTCAATGCGTGGAGCCTATATAACAAAATGGGGGAACTAGAGGCAATAGCATACACTAAACAATATGATATAATAGGCATAACAGAAACATGGTGGGATGAGACACATGACTGGGCAGTTAACTTAAATGGGTACACGTTATTTAGGAAGGATAAGTGAATACTCCCCGTTTAGTGAATACGCCGTTCGCCGTTTAGTGAATACTCCCCGTTCGCAATAACCCAGGCTGCATGTGTATCCAGTATAATCATACGAACCTCAAACAAGGGAACGCTGTAAACTCACGAACGGGGTCCGTACGGGCACTTCACCTCACGAGCTCCAAACTCACGAATTGCCAATAGCAGTCGAACGCAGGTATCTCCCAAGCGGCTAATAATCCCATCCAGCAGTCTCTAGTCGTCGGTAATAAATCCCCCCAATAACGAGACCAAGCTCCGCATTGAGGGTAAAACATGAATTGGCTTTACTGTGGGCTACCTGCCCGTATTTATGCAGGTCTCCCACTTGGTGGACACTCCCCTTGGGGACCAAATGGGAGACTGTGACAACAGATAGACATATTGCAGTTCAGGACCCACAGACACAAAATATTCCCAGCATGCAATAGTAATTCCTCCCCTCTGCCCTGGAGATAATTGAGAAGTAATGCAATTATCTCCAGGACAGAGGCAAATCACCATTTTACATTCAACACATAAAATCACATAAAAATATATAACTTTACATTTGTCGAATGCTACCCATTCGTATCACATATCCCCAGATATCCTGGATCTGAGTGCATATTATTGGCGAATAGCGCTCAGATCCCATACGCATAGTTCAATCGCCATGGAGTCAAAGTCTATTACAGTTCTTCGGTATGCGATTGACTCCATGGGAAGGCTATCTGGGGTTAGTCCATTCGTGCCTTTAAACCTCCCGAACGGCCGGTGTTCTCACACTTCTGTCGATTGAGAAGGGGAGGTCGACGGTTTCAGCGGTGTTCGGTTGAAAAAGTGTCAGTTTTCAGTTCCATGAAATAAATGTCGAACACCGCTGGTCTTTCACATGGTTTAAAATGGCCGCCACCTCGTGGTCGACATACGAACGACGACCACCCTGTATTCAGTTTTAATTGAGAAGTGTCTGTGGTTAACCGCAACGTTCTAATTGGGATCAATAGGTTAACCAGCAGCACACTTCTCTTCTGGGTGGCCGTCCGTTCGGCAGAAAAGTCCATTCACTTAAACAAAGGCATACGAACGGGTAAATTCATGAAAAAGGCAAAACAGACGAATCCAGCAACCTTAGTCCATACAGATGGATCTGTCACAGTCAGCCATGAGTCAAAGTCAAATCTTAGGCATGTGGAGTGTGATGAGGAAAATGTGGAAGCTTTATGGGTAGATATCTGCTTGGGGCAAACAAAGGGAAATAAATTATTGGTCGGGATATGTTATAAACCACCAAATGTAAATATTAATGAAGAAGAACTGCTGTTAGAGCAAATTGGGAAAGCTGCAAATCGGGGTAACACTTTAATTATTGGAAATTTTAATTACCCGGACATAAATTGGGATAGAGGGACTAGTACTTCAGCAAGGGGAATCCGGTTTTTGAATGTGTTAAATGACACCTTTATGTCACAACTGGTACAATCACCAACTAGAAAGGATGCTTGTCTGGATCTCGTTATAACAAATAATGTTGATCTTTTAACCAACTTTCAAGTAGGGGAGCATTTGGGAAATAGTGATCACAATATGTTAACTTTTGAAATAAACTCAAAAAAGCAAAAGCACGTGGGGTATATTAAAACTTATAATTTAAAAAAAGCCAATTTTAATAAGATTAGGGCAGCTCTACAACATATTGACTGGCATAAACTCCTTAGTGATAAAAACACTGAGGAAAAATGGAAACTATTCAAACAAATATTAGAATGGTACATTTCACAGTATGTACCATTGGGTAATAAATATAAAAGAAACAAATTAAAACCAATGTGGCTTAGTAGAGAAGTAAAACAAGAGATTAAAAATAAGAAAAGGGCATGTAAAGCATTTAAATCGGACAAATCAGAGGCATCCTATATAAGATATATGGAAGCCAATAATACTTGCAAAAAGGCAATTAAAGTGGCTAAACTAGAAAATGAGAAATTGATAGCCAAAGAATGCAAAACCAACCCCCAAAAATTTTTCAAGTTCATCAATTCTTAAAAAAATCAAAAAATGAAAGTGTAGGTACACTGAAAACAGAGATAGGTCTGTTAGTCAATGAAGACCAGGAAAAGGCAGAAACTATTTTTCTTCAGTATATATTAATGAGGGTCCTATGGCAAGATATAAGCAAATGATTGCTGCAACAAACTTGCAGATAACTTGTGATTGGATAACTCGAGACAAGGTGCTACAGCTATTAAAGAAAATTAATGTATATAAAGCTCCGGGGTCTGACGTTATCCACCCACGAGTACTTATGGAGCTAAGTGAGGAAATAAGTGAACCTCTGTATTTAATTTTTCAAGATTCTTTTTGTTTCAGGTATTGTACCGGAGGATTGGAGGAAGGCAGATGTTGTTCCTATATTTAAAAAGGGTTCAAAATCCTTGCCTGCAAATTATAGACCTTAACATCTGTGACTAGGAAATTATTTGAATGGCTATTAAGGGATAATATTCAGGAATTCATTGGGAAGAACTGTGTTATTAGCAATAATCAGCATGGTTTTCTGAAACATAGGTCATGTCAAACTAACCTAATTGCATTCTACGAAGAAGGAAGTAGAAGTATAGATCAGGGTGTTGCAGTGGATGTGATCTACTTGGATTTTGCCAAGGCATTTGATATGGTTCCTCACAATAGGTTAGTCTTCAAACTAAAATAAATTGGTCTAGATGAATATTCTTGTTCTTGGGTAGAACATTGGCTTAAGGATAGAGTACAACAAGTTGTCATTAATGGTAAATTTTCAAGCTGGACAAAAGTGGTAAGTGGTGTCCCTCAGGGTTCTGTTTTGGGACCGCTTCTATTTAACATATTTATAAATGATCTTGAAATGGGCATTGAAAGCCATGTATCAGTGTTTGCAGATGACACAAAACTTTGTAAACTAATAAAATGTGAGCAGGATATTGCTTTGCTGCAGAGGGATTTGGATGGACTGGACACTAAAATGGCAGATGAAATTTAACGTAGAGAAATGCAAAGTTATGCACTTCGGGGTTAAGAATGCACAAGCAATTTACACCCTAAATGGTAGTGAACTAGGGATAACCACACAAGAGAAGGATTTGGGAATTGTTATAGACAACAAATTAGGCAGCAATATGCAATGTCAATCTGCAGTTGCTAAGGGCAGTAAGGTTTTGTCATGCATAAATAGGGGCATAAATTCTCGGGATGAAAATATAATTTTGCCTCTTTATAAATCGCTGGTAAGACCACACCATGAATATACTGTGCAATTTTGGGCGCCTGTTCTAAAGAAAGATATCATGGCACTAGAAAAAGTGCAGAGACGAGCTACAAAATTGATAAAAGGAATGGAGCATTTTAGTTTATGAAGAAAGGTTAAACAATTTAAATCTCTTTAGTTTGGAAAAATGGCACCTGAGAGGGAATGCAATTATACAAATATATTCGGGGCCAGTACACACCTTTATCTGGAAATCTATTCATAAACAGGGCTATACATAGGACCCGAGGTCACACATTTAGGCTTGAAGAAAGGAGATTTCATTTAAGGCAAAGAAAAGGTTTTTTTTTTACAGTAAGAGCAATAAGGATATGGAATTCTTTGCCTGAAGAGGTGGTTTTTTCAGAGTTTATACAGATGTTTAAACTGCAATTGGATAAATACTTGCAAAAGCATAACATACAGGGATATAATTTCTAATTAGTGGGGTAATAGCTGCTTGATCCAAGGAGACATCTGACTGCTATTTTGGGGTCAAGAAGGAATTTTTTCCTAGTTTGTTGCAAAATTGGAAGCGGTTCAGACTGGTTTTTTTTGCCTTCTTTTGGATCAACAGCAAAAACATATGTAAGGAAGGCTGAACTTGATGGACGCAAGTCTCTTTTCAGCTATGTAACTATGTAATATAGCGGACCATTTAAAAAGCTGCATTTCAGATTTGATACAACAGGATCAGGTTGGATTTATTCCAGGAAGAGTAGCAGCAGGGGGCCTTATACGGGTTTTAGATATCCGGGACGCAGCACAAAGGCTGGATGTCTCTCTTCGAATTGCAATAGACAGGGATGTCCCCTCTCTCCATTATTATACGTTATACCATTGAACCTTTGGCAGAAGAAATAAGGGAAAATAAAAAGATCGAGGGTTTTAAGATAAAAAAGACAGAACATAAAGTTAATTTATATGCTGATGATGTCTTGCTTACTTTACAAAATCCAAGGTCATCTTTGCCGGAACTGATTAAGGCACTGGGTAATTATAGTGAATATTCAAATTATAAATTAAATATAAATAAAACCACGATAATGGCAAGTAATATGGATAGTGAAGACAGGAAGTTTATTAAAACAACATATAAATTTGCGTGGGCAAAAGAGTATATTACGTTTCTGGGTATTAAAATCCCAAGAAACATAAATAAAATAATTGAGGTAAATTTTCTCCCACTCATAAAATATACAAATACAATTTTGAAAGAATAGGTCAGCAAGGAGATTTTGTGGATAGGACGTATAAATACGAATCGATCATATATTCTGTCTAAGTGTGTCAGGTTCTTACCTGATGGGGAGTCCGGCTCGCAGAGTTATACACTCACCCTTGCAAAGTAGACACAGACCAGGGTGACCAGGTAAGACGCCACCTGGCCTGTGAGTCTGTGCACGGGGGCTTTCCAGGAAAAGTGCTCCAAGACTCAGTACAGCAGGGATTAGCAGAAGCGTGGTCAAGGGAAGCCAAAATCAGGGAAGCCAGAGGTCAGAGTAGTCCAGGAGGAAAGCCAAGGTCAGAAGCCGGAATTAGACAAGAATCACTGGAACGCAGGTACAGAGTAACAGGAACCAAACAAGGGAACCAGAGTCAATGAACTGACACTGCCCTCAGGGAGAGGCAGTGTCTTATACCTGGCTAATTGGTGATCAGCCACAGGTGTGCTGAGATCGTTGGAGCAGCCACAGAATAACGTCCAGCCCCCAGTGCTGGGTACAAGGCAATATAGACTTCTGGCTATCTCTTGAGCTGATATGGTGGCTCAGAGGCAAAATAGCAGCCCCAGGACTGCAAAGTACCCTGGTTCAAGTCCGTCACCGGACACTTCTGGGGCGACCTCGTCTGGCCGTCGGGATGTCGCGGTGAGAATCGTGACAGTACCCTCCCTTCAAGAACGCTCTCCGGGCGTGAACAGGTTCTTCCCTGAAATAGTACTCCTCATCTTCGGTCTCAGGATCACTAAGATAGTCTTTGTAATCAAAGTCTACAGACTGGGACTTTATGGTACCAGTTTCGGGTGCTAATGGGAAGAGGTCAAGGTTATTCATGGATGGGTGCAGGCGGTAAGTACCCTGATCCCAGGAGTCAGTTTCTCTGAGCTTTTTTTCTTAGGTGAGTCACCAGGAGCAGAGCTCACGGCTTTCAAAGCCCTTTCAAACATTTCCAGATCTGTTCTGTGGACCTTGTTACCATAGGTGCAATCCACAGGTAGTTCTCCTTTGGGCAGGCAGGAAGTGGTGATGGTACCAGTTTTAACAGGAGAGTCTTCTGGAGGTAGTGAATTCTCATGATCACCGATTATGTGTTCTTGAGAGACACTAGCATCAGTAGCCATCGTAGTCTGGGTACTCTTCTGCGTCACGGAACGTGGAAACTTCTGACAGTATCCTTGACATTTTTCTGGCTGTGTTGCCGGGATAACAGGATGAAGGTGAGTAGTACCTACTTGAAGAGGCTTAGGCCGAGTTGGGCGAATAGGGCAGTGGGAGATAAAGTGCCCTCCTTCTCCACAATAGAAACAGAGACAACAAGCCCTCCTTCGGTCTCTTTCACTAGATGGCAGTCTTGTTCTTGTGCGGATGAAGCCAATCTCCATGGGTTCCTCCTTGTCCTCTAGAGTGCCAAGTTCCACATGGGTAACATTATGATGACAAGGCAGGTCCTTGGAGGTAGGTTTAGACTGTAGCGAGATGGGATTCTTGTATTCATAAAATAATTCCTCTTCTCTAGGCAACCGGGTTCTGCGAGAACCTGAAGTAGGCTTGGGAGTTGCTTTCCTTGATGCAAAGCACTGAGAGTCCATTGCGGACATGAACAACTCCCAGGAGTCCAAGACAGTACTTCTCTCCTGCAGCTTCTGGTGTGCCCACGCCTTAATCCGCCCAGTACACAGGTTAATAGCGGAGCGGACTCTGATAAGGTCGGTGGCGTAGGTTCTAGGTTTCAGGGCAAACAGTAGCTCACAATCCTTCTTGAACATCGGGAAAGCAGAACGGGAACCGTCAAACCTGTCAGGCATAATGACATAGGGTTCCGGGTATGTATGTTCCGGGATTGGATGTACTGCTCCTTTAAATGCCAATGAACATCTCTGCAAATCCATAACATTCTGGGACAGGTTGGAGACTTGTTCAGCCAGGGAGGTGAGTAATTTGTATAACTCTGCAGACTCCATATGGTCAGTTCATTATGTCAGGTTCTTACCTGATGGGGAGTCCGGCTCGCAGAGTTATACGCTCACCCTTGCAAAGTAGACACAGACCAGGGTGACCAGGTAAGACGCCACCTGGCCTGTGAGTCTGTGCACGGGGGCTTTCCAGGAAAAGTGCTCCAAGACTCAGTACAGCAGGGATTAGCAGAAGCGTGGTCAAGGGAAGCCAAAATCAGGGAAGCCAGAGGTCAGAGTAGTCCAGGAGGAAAGCCAAGGTCAGAAGCCGGAATTAGACAAGAATCACTGGAACGCAGGTACGGAGTAACAGGAACCAAACAAGGGAACCAGAGTCAATGAACTGACACTGCCCTCAGGGAGAGGCAGTGTCTTATACCTGGCTAATTGGTGATCAGCCACAGGTGTGCTGAGATCGTTGGAGCAGCCACAGAATAACGTCCAGCCCCCAGTGCTGGGTACAAGGCAATATAGACTTCTGGCTATCTCTTGAGCTGATGTGGTGGCTCAGAGGCAAAATAGCAGCCCCAGGACTGCAAAGTACCCTGGTTCAAGTCCGTCACCGGGCACTTCTGGGGCGACCTCGTCGGGATGTCGCGGTGAGAATCGTGACAAAGTGGAATTATACTTTAAGAATGTTACCGGTACAAGTTCCCATACCTTGGTTAAAAATGATACAGTCAGCTTTTTTACATTTATTAGGAAGGGGAAAAAACGCACAGTTGCTTTACCACTATAACGCCATAAGGGTGTGGCAGGGGAAGCTCAGTTATTTGACTGCCATAGCGCCATAAGCGCGCGGCCGGAGTTTATTGTTAGTCTTAGCACAGTAAGGCACATTGCATTGTTTTTGAGATATATATATATATATATATATATATAGTTAAGGGGGGTTTGTGTTTTGTTTGCATTTATATTCTGGGTTTCTTGGTTTATATCTTTATTTATATCTATATCATTATTTTCTCTTTTGTTTGCAATAAGTGTAAAATGTAACGTGCAAGTCTATGTCTTGTTACTTTTCTCTTATACTTTGATGAGAGAAGTGTTTAGTCACACTCTCCAGTCTGTGGCCACCTCGGGTGGACGGACCCAGTGACTAGTCTACTTTTAGGGAAGGTGCACGCAGGGTTAACCTCTGTGGCTGTAGACACTCCATCTCCTGTTTGTCTCCCTCCCTCTCCACCCCGGCCCCCACCCCTGTGCTCCCTCTGGCTCTCTCTCTCTCTTGTGATATCTTGTTTAGGGGGGGGGATGGGTCAGAAGCTTGCGAAGCCCACTGTGGGTGAAGAGGTAGTAGGGGGAGGTGAAGAAGATCGCTAAGATCACTAAGATCTGTGGCATTACTATGTCTTCCAGCGGACGGCTACAGCCAGAGGGCTGGCGTAAGCTGCTAAAAAAAAACAAGGGATTATTGCAGGACAATACCTAGTTAAGACTGCAGAAGTTGCCAGAGAAATTCAGCAGGAGAGGTGGGTCGAGGAAGAAGTTGAGTTAGGGGGACAAAAATTATATGTATATCATGAAAGTAATTGTAATGGTGAAATTATTGTTGAAACCCCATGCCAGCCATCGCCCCATCATGGCGCCTGGCACGGAGGGATGGAGGTTGGACCAGTCCCCGTGACCTCCACCCACTTGCAGTTACCGCCCTCTCGACCCCTGCCCCATGTACCCTGTCCTTAGAGCGGATGGATCATTGTATTCCCCTCGCCCCCATCAAGCCTTCCCTCTCGCCCCGATACGCCTTTCCCCTCTGCCCCTATGGTATCCGCCCCTGTCACTCCTACCCCTGTCATATCTGCCTCTGTCACTTCCGCCCCTGCCATGTCCTCACTTCCTTCCCCCACCCCTTCCGTCCCTGTCATGGCCGCCCCCATGATGTCTACCCCTCTTATGTCCGCCATGGCAAACGAACCCCCAGTTACTACGGGAGGTCTGCCCACCCTCATGTACCAGTGGGGAGCCCATGCTCTGTCTACCCCCTTCCAACCCTCACGTCCTCTCCCTGGCCCATACAGCACTTACAAAGTGCCGCAAGCACCAGTCCTCTCTGACGCCGCCAGTTCCCATGAGTCCCAGATCCCCCCTCCACCCCTCCTCCTGACGACGGTAGCCTCTTTGGGGGCAATGCTTCATCACCCCATGCTGAGAATCCCATAATCCCCCGGGATGTGAATCCCAGAGTACCCCAGGATGATAATCCTAGAGCCCAGTTCCTTAGGGACGGAGCCCCTTTGATGTATGTCTCATTTACCCCGTCCCAGGCCGCCACTCTGGTGGGCTCTCTCCCAGATCCAGAGAAGCAGCCCATGCCCTTCTACTGAAGGATTGCCCAGATCCAAAAGACCTATTCCGCTGCATGGCGTGACTTGTTTAGCCTCTGTGAAATTAAAGCAGGGGATGCTCACTGGCCCATTATGGAGAGAAGCTTCTCTAGTGCCTGACTCGCTAGTGAGTCTGATTTCCCCTCAGGTGTTGAATTCTGTGAACAGCTTCGGCTGTGGGCCCAAGATAAATTAGCTGATCAGGCTACCTGTCTTAACGATGTCATCCAAGATAAGACAGAATCTGTGGAAAAGTATCACTCTAAGTTGTCCCAAATGTTCTCTGACCTGCGTTTCAGTTTGTATAACAAGGCTCACACCCAAATGCTGTCGGCAGCCTCCGTGGCAGGCCTTAAAGAATCCATCCATTCACCCTGAATACAGAATAATCCCTCTGGACACCCTCCTGTTAGTTGCTAAGGGCCTAGAGTCCTCCCAGCTACCCAAACCAAGGAAACCAGATCCCCTTATGTTCTCTCGCCCTGCACAGCCTCCCCCACCGACCCCTGGGTATGCACCCTTGCCTCCACCCTGTTGCCAACTACCTCCCTCACCCCCCAGTCAGTAACCCTGCACCAGCCACCTGCCCCTACACTGGCCCTGACCAAGCACACATAGATCTCCTACACTAGGTAATTGGCAAACCTGTGTCACCTACCCCTGTCATGGCAGTGTCTTCAGGGGACAAGGGTGGGCCCCTTGCTACAGTGGTCCTACCTGTAGAAGGCCACCCAACCACCTTCTTAGTTGACACAGGCGCAGCATCCATAGAGAACAAGACCTGCCTGACTCCTCTTTCCTGTCTAACATTGATGTTTCTTGTGTAGGTGTAGATAGCACTCCACGGAGTAGCCCATTAACTAAGCCCTTGCAAGTTGACACTTACCCTGATCTCCTGGCACGCTTTGTTGTCTCCTTTACCTGCCCAATTAACCTACTGGGAGCAGATGTCCTTTCCCGGTTACAAGCCTCTATCTTCTTCACCCCAGATGGCCTGATTCAGCTATCCTCCCCTCTGTCTACTGCTGATACTTCGGCCCTCTGCTCCTTACCCCTCCTGCTCCATATGGAGACACCTGATAGGGATGCAAGGGTCCTAGATGGTT